GCAGTGTTATGTCGTGCGTAAATGTAATGTAATGTCGTGCGTCTTCATATATATGGTCATTATATACTACACCATTCACTATTTTAAAGCACATTAAGGCTCATTAAGCTGAAAGAAATGAAACAAGATGTATTGTATATAAATTTATTATGGATATCTAAACATTACATTATAATTCATTATTCCATGATTAATACATTTACATTTTGAAAAAAGTCGTGCAGATTCATCGTTGGAGCAGAATGCTGTGAATTGGTTATTTTTCTTTATATGTTCCATAAGTTTGCATGCGTATCCTTTTCTCCGATACTTTGGTAATGTATATATGTAATCTAATACTCTCGGTACATCATGATGTCCTAGTGGATCAAAGTCACATTTTGATAATAGAACGAACGATGCTGGTTCTCCGCTGACATATAGGATGTAGCAGGTAACTTTCATGTTTTTCATCCATTGATCAATAAGTATGTCATCTAAATTTAATTGCTTAATTTTTCGGACTGCGTTCGGACCTCTGAACAGCTCAATTTTTTCCATCATACTCCGCCGAATGATTGATTGATACTGATTTTACATTATTCGTTCAATTATGTATCATCTATAAATTTTACAGGAGTGGGGAGGACCGCATATATTACCTTTACAGACCGATTACAGCTAATAATTATAAACACAATACCAACCTATAAAACATAATATTGCCGTAGATAAAATATAGTATATTCACCATTTATATTCGCTAATTTTGTATATTACCCGAATTGTAGTAGATTAGTATGCAACTCACAATACATTTGTATTCTATAATTTTTATATTATTACTCGAACTACCGTAGATACGTATATACAGAATAATAGTGCTGTATAGTAATTCACGTTCAGTCTATAGTCATATTTAATCAGAGACGATTATATTGAGGATGTTTGTTGGTTTGGTCATACTGTAAGAATGGTATACGTTCTTTGAATAATCATGTTCTATTTCTAGTAATACTTCATGCGTGGATGTACGTTATATATCGTTTGCAACGTAACCTTTCGCATTGTTTCGAGAGAGAGAGAGAGAGAGAGAGAGAGAGAGAGAAGCTGTGTGTCTTTTTTACGATGTCAGGTGCTAGATGTGGTCGACAGGTGGCGTGACGAGACGATGAACTGTAATAGACGTGGAATCTCATTCAAACTATGTCCAATATTTGATATAGCACCGTTTTTTGGCGATGATTCTCTGTTAGCCTCACTTTCCTCCAATATCTATTATGTTAAACAAAGATCCGATATAGCACCGTTTTAGCAATGTCTTTTTGTGTTACATATTTCTCCTCCTCTTTCCAAAGCGCCATCGTACTTCATGATCGGGCCAATAGCAATAAAGATATGATGTAATGTCCTTTTGACATTGTCTTTGTTGTTTTTTGTCTTAACATATTTCCCGTCACCTCCCCTTTTTCATTTAACGTGTTACATATAGTAATCTGATTAATAACCAGAGATAGGACATAGCGTCGTCGTTTGCACGGTCTTTGCGTCTGCTTTTTGTCTTAACATATTCCACCACCCTTTCCATCACTACCTCTCAAGTTGAGCCGTTTGGACGTTACAAGCTTAGCGTCGATGTCTTTGCGTCTTGTTTTTATCTAAATATATTCGTTACCACCTCCCGTTCCACAGAGCCCTCGTACGTTGTTGTACGTTGAGCC